TCCGGGACAGTCTGCGCTGCAAACGCTTCTTTGGCTTGTTGACAGGTAAAGGAAACGCTGCCAAATAGGAGCAAAGTGGAAAATGGTTTGTGTTAATGTACGGAAAAACACATAAAAGAGGTTTTTACATTGTGACTGTAGTCTGGGGGGGGGGGATGGGAACTCAGTGACCCTCTGTACTCACTGGTTACAGTGGTTTCCTCTTTGAGGGAAGATACCACAAAATAAGCCGGGCACTAATTCAAATGAAGAAAAAAGTTGTAGAGGACGGTTGAATCCCTGAGGCAGGTATTGGAACAACATGTTCCCCTCACAGGAATCATGCCACAGACTGAGAAACCCAACCCACTGCCCTCACTAGCTAATACTATACCATATGTGCGCTATGTGACGCAGACTCCTGCCCCGTCCCCCTCGGTGTTGGGTTCACACACACACACACGCGCTCGAGTACATCCTGCCCAGACCAGCTCGTCTGCGAGCGAGGACCAGAGGCTGAGAGGAAAAGCTTTTATTAGAAGGGGGCTCGGGTTTGGAATGTCTGGAAAAATATGGAAAATTAATTTGACAATTTCCAGCCCCCGTAAACGCTTTGGAGAAAACAGGAACTTGGCTCCGGTTGGAAAAGTGTTGATGCTCGGTTCTAATGCGATCAATTCCGTTGGATTTGTGTGGGGATGTGTTTTCTGTGAAAGATCGATTTCTCGGGTCAAGAGACTGAACAGTAAAAAAGACCAGCACCGCACATTGTTCCCCGACTCGTCCCATGGCGTTTCACTCGTGAGGTTATTTCTGGACGTTTGTGGAACGATTCAACGTGCAGCAGAATAAAAACCGACCATAAATCCAAACCCCAGACTTAAAGAGCACAGACAGGAAACGCTGTCAAAATAAGAGCATGGTTTAAATGTAAAGTGAGAGCGGAGGCCCACATTTCCTACAAGCACTGGAAATCATTTGACCAAGACTTTCATACAGGGGCTGAGCAGAGGAGCTGCAGCGATGGACAGTCTGAGGACAGGGATGTGTTTTCTGAGCGTTTCACAGTCGTAACACTAAAGAATTAAAATGATCAGAATGTGTAAATTCAAATTCTTCTCCCAAAAAATGAGTCAAGGAGAAACGTGGGTTTTCATGAATCTTTCTTCTAGCATCAAATTACAACGTTACCTCCGCCAGGGACGTTGTGTTTTCACCACGAGTCTGTCTAGAAGCAGGATAACACAGAAACAACTGAATGGATTTCCACAAAACTTGTTGGAAGGAAAGAACACGCGTCAGGAAAGAAAAGAAGGAACATTTTCCCCTGAGTAGAATTCGTGCATCTTGAGAGGACAGATATCTGCGAGGCTTGATTTCATTTAAGGGGCTCGTTGGGTCTTGCTCGGAGATATGAGCTCGACCGAGCGATGGTTTAGTTTTAGATGCATTTCTCACTTTTTCCATCACATTCTTTGCTCTTCGTTCTTTTCATCTCCGTCTCTCTCTTTTCCCCCGTGTGCTCTGAGAGAGACTCTCTCTTTCTTCCCCAGCTCTTTTGCTGTGTTGTATTCTCCGTGGCTGGAAATGATTCCAGATTTCTCTCAGCTCGACCACAGGGTTTGTCCAAAACAGACCAGACAAAGTGGAAAACACGAACCATGGTTTGTTGTAACCTTCAACGTTAAAAAAAAAAAAGTGATTTTTTTTTTTGTGGAGGATGTGAAGTGCCAGACGCAGATGCTTATCTGTCCTCTCATCCTTCAGGATAAAGATAACCAGCTCACAGCCTTTTCCAAATGAACCACAGAAACAGCTGTTTTAATATTTTGTCCAAAGAATTACGGTAAAGCTTAACCAAAACAAACCCCGCCTGTCGCCCAAGCTGGCTCCCCTCACACGGACAAAAGTTGAAAACCACAACTGGAATGACAAAGACAGAGAGGGGATGTGGTTATAAACTGAGAGGTTGTTTTCTGGAGCTCGACGGCGCTCTGAGCCTGACACAGCTTTATTGAAACATCAGCATGAGACAGAGTTAGTTTTACTGATCTTCTGTAGTTTTCTCTCATTATCTGGTCACAGTGATGGATCACAGCTCGTCAGAAGATGTTTCAGGTGAACTGCGGCTGGCGCTTCGTCTCATGAGCTGTGGGTCAGTGTTTAATTTGTCGGCCGCCGTCTGGGAACATGAGCAACTAGAGATATTGACCAAATCACCAACCAAACACGCTCTGCCTCGTGAAACTCATGACTTCAGACCTGGCTCAGACGTGTTAAAGGTCTCGTTTCACTGCTGTGTCCTGACCTCTGCAAAGAGTTCTGCCTTGACTCACGTCTCATCCTTCGAGCTCTGTGGAAATCGATGTGTTGTGTCATTCTGCTGATAAATATCTTGAGGTTTTATTCTAAGTAATTATGATCAAGGTTTTTTCTGGAAGCAAATATAAAATGAAACCCGAGTGGGCGATGATCTTTAGACCTTTTAGGCGTTTCTCTTGTTCAACGCCTCAGTCTATAAATAACTTTTTATGTCATTGGGATAAAGAGTGTCTAAACACTTTGCGGTGACAGTTATGGACACACAAAAGCAGAAGTGTGTTGTAAAGCTTTGCTCTTTCTTGCAGTGTGTGTGTGTGGACCTCTTCTCTCTGACCCTTGAAATGAACAGAATGTGAAAACAAGAAATACCCATTTGTTTAATTTGAACCAGCGACTGGAGGAGTCCGATTTCTTAATGTGAAGCAGTGTGTGTTTGGGTGACTGTTAACGAGTCTTTGTCCGTCACGTGTAAAACCGATTACTGAGTTCTTGTGTGTCTGCAGGTTTCTTGTTGAAAATGAACTTAGACTTGAAGCTTTTAAACAGTTTTAGTCTGAAGAAGAAGCTGAACACTGGAGATTTACCTTTTGTGTGATGTAGACAAAAGCATTCTGGTTCAAAACAAAAGTAAAACTCAAGGTAATCAGACACTTTGGGTCCTTTTCTTCTCGTGTTCTTCAGTGATCGTGCTGTGACCCAGTGAAACTAATCTCATGACCCTGAGTGTGGCTCTTTAAGCCACAGTTTATTTAGTTCAGCACCTTTTCTTTCCCAGAGCAAAGTCCCTGAGTGTTTCTCGTGAATAAAAGTAGAGATAAAGAAAGAAAAGATGCAACAAAAAGACAATAAAGAGGCAGAGTGGTGAGAAAAAGACATTTCTAAATAACTTTCAGCTTTTTGAAGGGAGACGTGGGACGACCAGAGAACCCTGGTCAGTCGACCTGAGTGACCTGGTCGTGTTAGTCACATGGAGCAGGTCAGCGATTTTAAAATGAATCCTAAACTCGCCGGGAGGTCGGGGTGAAGACGGTAAGATGGACGACCAGGACGACAGTTCAGAAACTGGTTTCCATGAAATGTGACCTGAGGAAGAACCCGTGAGATTTTTGCACGGATCCAGAATTCTTTGTTTTCATTTCGATGGAATAAATCCGACATGTTTTGGGGTCTGATGTTTCTGAGTGTGAGCGATTCGGTGCAGATCAGGTTCAGTATGAGTTTGAATATGTTTTGGTAGTGGCGTGTTTAATGGAGTTTAATGACACGGTTTAATGCAGCAGGACAAAAGCATGAAACCTACACGGACAGACTTCTGGGAAAACCTGAGCGTAACTGATACTGATGAGCCTCCGTTTCTGTGTCTTACACCTTCTTCAGGAGGAGGCAGATTTAGTTTTGGCCTAGTCCTCGTTCTTCCTCCCTCGCTCCTCCTCAGTGTCTCCTCTTTTGAAGTGTGGTTCTATTCAGAGTGGACCGCGGAGCCCCACCGCTGATGTCCTCTCTGCCCTGTGCTGCTGTCACACTCGCTGACACGCTACCATCCGTGAGTGCGAGCGTGACCCTGACGCTTTGTGTCGCCAAACATTGTCTCGCCCAGCGATTCTATGGAGCTGAAACTTTACACCTGCAACCAGAGCCCTGTTGGTTTTCTGGTGACAATCAGCGGAGGACGGAGAAGCAGTTTCACATTGAGCCTTTGTGCCTCTCTGTGAATGTGAAGCCGGGACAGGCTGCTGTGTCTTCTCTGGGCTTTTGACAGAGGGCGGGTCTTGGCTTTGTGCTTCATCTGGAGCGGTCACGTGATCCGCTCCATCGCCGCCTTCGCTGCACATGTTTGAATGTTGATGCTCGGTTCATCGGCGAGAGACCCAGATGTTTGTCCTCCCAGATGTTTTAATAAAGATCTGAGCTGTGATGGATCATTTTCACAATCAGACCTGGAAGTTTCTTTAAATGTGACAAGAAGACAAAACAGATGACTTTCACACAACAGCAATAATAATAAGAACCAGAGTTTCTTCAGAAATCTAAAGAAGCAGAAAGTAAAAAAAACTCCTCATTAATATTATTACACATTGTTATTTATCGGTTCGTGTGAACCTTTGACCGATCAGCTGCAGCTTCACACACGTTCTGGGAGAAAACCTGTCCGTGTATGATTTCTGTTCACACGCACACTGAAAGCACACGTCTGTGTCCGTAACTCATGTTACTGTTAGAATACTGCATGTACTCTTTACATTCTGATTCAGGTTCTGATAGTTACACAGAAACTCAACTGTTTTTGCTTCCAATCCTGAAGTGGATCCAAATAAACGGGCGGATCCAGTATTTGTGTTCGCTGTCTTAGAGATGGAGAGATAGAGCTTGGTCAAAGGATACACCCCGTCTATTTGAATCCACATATAAAGATGTCTCCATGATATAATATCCAGGTTCTCTGTGTTTATTCTCTGCAAAACTACCATTTTGTATTTCTGGTGATTGTGCTTGTATTGATCTTTATATGTTCCTGTTCTGTTTGAATTCTTCAGTAGAGTTGAAGAACCACATCTTGATCAAATCTTTCACCGTGTTTCTGAAAAGTCCCCCTGACTCTCGTGTTCTGTGTCTCCTCGGTGTCGTCTCCTCAGGAATCGTGCGTGAGATGGCTCACAAGGTCGACAGCAAGCTGAAGTCCATCTCCACCACGAGGCTCAGTCCCCAGCACCACCTCTGGTACGAGATCCGCCGACATCTTTGACGGTGGTTTGAGAGCTGTGTTGTGTGTGGAGGTGCGAGTTAAAGGCAGCGGCTGCAGCTCTAACCCGCCACATTTCTGAAACAGCTTTACTTGATTACAATGAGCTTTTTTTTTTAAACTTCGTTTTGTAAAACGGCCTCAGTAAATTAGCTGTAAACCACATCTTAATTTGTAACACGTGTTGCACTACAAATCCTGAAAGCATGCATATCGTGTGGTGCGTTCACTTATCACCACGTGCAGCTTTTTTTTTTTACACCTTTATTTGTGTGTTTTTCTCTGTCGAACATGAGACGGTGTTTTCTCCGAAGAGACTGTGCCGATCGTCATGGAGAACAAGAAAAGAGGCTAAAGTTCCCTCGCATACAAGTGTAAAAAAAAAAACCCACTTCGCTCGCAGCGGCCATGTTATCCAACCTGCAGAAGTCAAATAAATATCATCTTTCTCTCAGCTTTGATTCTCATGAAGAACAGATTAGTGCCGACTCCCGCTAATCCCTCACATCTCCCAGTTTGTGTCGTGTCCTGAGGCGGCGGTGAACTCCCACCCCGACAAGTGAAAATAAAAAAACAAACCTCCTTCTTGTGTCGTGAGTTAGAAACCACAGTCTCACTTCCAGCGTTTGCTCAATCCAAGTCCTGTCGGCTGTTATTATGTCAATTATCCCCTTTGCTTCACAGTGTGAATTTCACTCCGCGTGAGACGCCGCGGCTGCACCTGCCGGCCGCAAACCGCCACAGCCCGGTTATCTTTCCGCCGTCTGTGCTTCTGACTTCACAGCGGCCACTTCAGAGACGATAGGACATCAACATGTAACATGTCAACCCTTCATTTCAGGCCTCTGGTGTGTGAAGACATCCAGGAGGACGTGGAGGACGGGCAGCTGCAGTTTTTCTACATTCTGGCTTTTGTGCTGCAAGGTGACAAATCTCACTCAGACAAACTTCAGGTTTTGTTTTGCTTCTTCCAAAAGCACAGATAATAATTCCTGGCCCAAAGCGTTTCGTGTAACAACTTCACGTGTAATAACTATTGAAGATGCAGAGATAAGTGATGCTGGCGTCCCCACCTTCTTCTTCCTGCCTGAACTGATCGAGCTCTGTGGAAAATGCTTGATCGTCAACATTGTTATGAAGCTAAAGATAAAAATATGCTTAAACGGAAGAAATAAATATGAAGGACGACCTAATTTCCTTGGAGATGAAAGCAGAAGGTAGAGGATGTGGTTTTACGGGGAGCAGCTTACAGCCGAGGCGCCTGTCCAGCCTCCATTTTATCAACCTGTGCAATAGTACGAGGCAGGAACCTTGTGTTTTGACGGCCCGGGCATGCACGGGGTGTGTATGTGTGGGGTGCCTCGCTCCTTCGCTGCAGCAGGCGAGCGTTAGGCCAAGGTAGCTGCAGGCTACAGCTGTGCACGTCTGTGGAATTTCAAGTGCAGTGATTCCAGCGTGCCTGGATCTGCCTGCTCACGCTGCTGCTTCACCGAGGCTGAAGGGTTTAAATCTGAAAGTCGTCTCTGCGACTGGAGCGTAAAAGCACTGACCCAGGACTGTTTCCTCCTCAAACTAGATCTGATAAGCTCCGGAGACACCAGATCTGTTTCCTCTGTGACCTCCGAGGTTCTGAGCTCGTCAGTCTGTAGGATTACACAAAAAACGGCCTCTCAGCTGATTCCCGTGACATTTCGTGGAGAGTAGCAGCCTGAGCTCAGGAAGAATTCATTACATTTTGAAGCGGATCCAAATAAACGGGTGGATCCAGTATTTTGTTTCTGCCGTCTTCAACATGGCGAGATAGAGCGTTAGCCTTTGCCAAGGGATACGCCCTCCCACTGCCCCTCTATTTAAAGCTGTGTTCGAACGGTGATGTCGTCTCCACTTCTTCAAACTACCCAGAAGTCAGTGCAGTAATGAGCCAGGGTATCAAGGTCCTGCTGATACTCGCACTCAGCCAATCAGGGGTCAGTGTCAGCTGTCAATCATGGCGTCTGAGCCTGTTCTGTTATCTCATCAAATAACGAATTCAAACCAAACCGATCAGACGACGTGTGTTAGCTTCCGTCACGTGCTCTTCTGTATTTAAGAACTTCTTTGTCTGCATTTCAAAAACGTTTCCATCTGTTTCTGTCAGACAACGTTTGGACGCCGCTGACGGTCCTGGCGACGCGGGAAACCCTGTACCTGCTCGGAGAGGATCACCAGTGGACGAAGAGCTCCAGCGTCCCGACGGCAGATGAAAGCACAGAACAACGCAGTGGCAGCGTAGCCGTGTTGGAAACGCTGCCAATCAGCTGCGTGAGCTCGGTGCACATGTGGCCTTCAGACCAACGCAGGATGGATCTGAAGCTTTACGACGAGGTCAGTGTTAACATCGCGGGAACGTCTCTGATGTGTTTTACTGGAAGATGAAAGGCTCAGGCGTGGAGGTAACGATCTCACCGAGGAAGCGGGCGTCTCGTGGTCGTGCAGACGAACAGTGAGGTCATGATAAAACACTGATCGAGACGACTGTGTTTGTTCTCTTGGAAAGGAATCAAACGTGTGTTGTCAAACTTTTCTTCCACAGGTAACAGCAGCGCAGCAGACCTGAGTGTTTCCATATGAAATCTGGTATCTGGGTCGTGTTGAGCTGCGTGCTGTTTCGGTTTAAAGCATGTTTGTATCATCCCATCATCTCGGCTCCGTCACGCCTTCGTCTCAGCCGTGAGCTCATGAATAAAACCCAAACTGTTAGAGACGGGTGTTTATCAAGACACGTTTTGTGTTGATTCGTCCCACATGTGTGCGTCCACTCGTTACAGCGGAGCGCGGGCCGGCCGCTCGTCCTCGCGCCGCCACGACGAGAACTTCGCCCACAGTCGAGTCGCAGCTCGTCGTCTCGTTGAATCCTCTTGTGACGAACTTGGTGTTTCCTCTTGTTCTCTTGCAGACTGTGAAACAGGAGAAGACGTGGTGCGTGCGCTCCGAGAGCGTGGAGCTCCTGCACGGTCTGCTGGCCTGGGTCAGGGCTCAGTGGGAGGCCATGTTCGGAGTCAAGCTGCACACGACTCTGCAGGAGGAAGGAAAGAACAAACCCTGAACTGAGTGTGTGTGTGTGTGTTCCCTCGTCGCTCTCAGGTGAAGAACTCGGAGCGCAGCGCTTCATGTGGTGCTCAGGCCCGTAGAGCCTGCAGCTGCATCATCGCTCCTGCAGACACCTTTTCATGGAGTGTGCCTTGATTTGTAGTTTGTTGTGCAGCCGCCATGTTCCTCGATGAAAAGCACCTTCATGCATCACGCTCGGGCCTTTGTCGTTCATCAGCCCCCCCCACACACACACACACACACACACATTAAGCTGGATAGACTCTTCCTCGGCGGGGGGGGGCAGTGAGTTGTTAAATCATGCGCTCAACTCGAGGCTGGAGGGGGGAGGGAGGTTTGCTTCTGAAAGGCCAAGGCTTAGGTCCATCACGGCGGGGGTCACTTCACCCTCACCCACCTCCTCCCCCCCCCCTTAGAGTCTCATGATGTGTCTCTGCACAGGTCGTTGAGCTTGGTTCTGTTTTTAAAGCAACACGAAGAGACTCGTTACGATCTCCTGTGAGGAACTGACGGAAAATCACGTCTGTAGTGAGACACAGGAAACCTGAGGTGTCTGTGTTCCTCCAGCTTCACGTCCGTCACGTGTTAGAAACCTCATCGTCCTCATCTCCGAGGCTGCAGGTGAAACGTTTCAGGATTTGTCTGGAGCAGCTGACCCAGAATCAGCAGGTTGAAGATCAGTTCAAAGTTTCTCTCTAACATTCAGCAGGAAACTCAGTTTGTTGGTTTTGTTACAGCCGCAGGTCGTCCGGTTCAGGAAGCTGGAGGATCATGGGTAATATCCGCTCGGTGAATCCGCAGCTGTGATTTCATTCGATTCTTTCGTTCACTTAAAGTCAGAAAAGTGTCTTTTATTTTTTTATGAACGTGTGTAACTCAATATAAAAGTCATGTGTTCATTTGTGATGTGTCATTTTTTTTTTTTACCAGAACTGAAAAACAACCACAGAGTTCCAAGTCATCTGAAGTTCACTGGGATTCTTAGTTTCCCCGAGTCAGACTCTCCTCCACGTCCACTCCTACGTCCTTGTGTAAGAGGGACTCTGTCTTCGATCGATCGCATCATGATGCAAACCACAGAAATGTGTTCACGCAAAGAGGAAGTAACAGCTGCCATGATTCCATCACGACGTTGACCTCAGTTTAAACTTCATCTCTGTCGCTCCTGCTTGATGTGTGATAACGTCTCAGTCAGAAGAGACTCAAACAAACGCGTAGAAACCTGAATCACACGTCAGAGCGCGTTTCTGTGCGAAAGGTGATTTCTGGAGGATTTTCATTCTAAAAACGTCGTAAACGTTTTCAACAGTTTCACAAATTAGCTCTTGGTTCTGAACCGGCCTGTAATCTGCTTCCTCGCACTAATTGTTTGATTCCTTCATTGGTGCTTAGGAAAAACCCAAAAGTGGCTCGTAAACCTGCTGTCTTCACGAGCCGTTTCCACTTTAATGGGTCAACTTAATCACGACTGTTTTCTCCTGGCTGCAGCTGAAACAGCAGCAGCAGAGGAGGAGGTGGAGGAGGAGGAGGAGGAGGAGGACTCCTCGACGCTGCAGAAGAAGTCGTAGATGTTTGTTTATTGAATCAGTCTCGTTCTTTTTGGGCCACTCGACACCAAACTGCTAATCCCGCCCCCTCGGAGCGGAGCTGGGTTTGAGCTCAGCTGTGTGTGAAAGGTATGTTAACCAATTTCACAGTGTAAATATTTCCTCAGCCACCGCAGCCGCACATGTGTGGAGCACATGGTGCGTCGGAGACCTGCATCACCTTCAGCTGCACCCACATGTCGGACAAATCCTGGTTTTAATGTCCTCACGCGCGTTTCCGGGCCCGGCCTCTTCTTCGCTCTGGATTTCTGTGAGGTCAAAGGTCAGGTGCAGGTGCAGAACGTCACTCTGGACGCTCGCACTCGTCACCGGTCTGAGAGGAGCTGCACAAATCCACAAGCATTAAAGGATATGTGCAGTAAAACTGTGACAAAGCTTTTAATAACTCGTGTCCCAGTTTCCGTCGGGAGATTTGACTCCACATGTCGACGGTGAATATGTCGGCTGCTCGGATCGAAACAGGAAATAAAAAGTAATTGGGCATTTTCTTGTTTAAACTAGAAAAACACTCAGAGCCGCACATTCCACCCCCGAGGGCCCGATCTCACAATGTTACAGAAAGTGATAAAAACCTCTGGATCTGAAATGTTTCACCGTACAGTGGCAGGAAACTCTTCCCCCTATGAAACATTTCAAACTCTCCAGCTGTTTTTAGAGCCGCTCTGAAGTCCTGGCGTGTTCCTGGCGTGTTCTGGAGGTTCTGTGTGTGAGAACACAGCAGGAAAATGTCTGGAAACCTCTCAGTGAGCGAGTGGACGTGAAACTGGAAGAACACAAATATCTCCGTGCACGTAGAAGACGAAGACGCCAACGAAGACGCGACAGACGTGTCTGAACTTGCCATAAAAATGTAAAAGTTGACAGATGCATGAAACTTTTGAATGTGTTGTTGTCTCTTGTTCTGTTTGTGTATTAAGAATAAAGTTCAGTGTTTAAAAGTGTAATTCAGTTTAGATTCGCTCTCACATGCTCTGATTCAAATATTTCTGTGTTCAGTCTCAGTTGTTTTTTCATTTCAGAGTTTCGACAGGATCAGGAACAAACAGGAACAAACTAATTAATGAGCCCAGAGAGTCACGAATCCCTGAATCTGAACGCCTGCGTGTTGTTTAATTTATGTCACAGTTTATGTTTTGGCAGAACGGTTCATATAAGAGGAAGTGGAGATGTAGCCGTGGTCGTTTGGCTCGAGGCTGAACATCTGGCTCGGTTCTACCAACGTCTCAGGAGCAGCACAGCTGTTCTGTGCATGACAGCGAGAAATCAGTTGTTTTTCCTGAACGTCCACTGGATTCTTGAGGGGGGGGGGCGGCCTGCTGGTCTAAGAGCTGCAGTCACGCAGCACCGCTCTGCCAAACCAAACCGTGTCCAGGGGACAACACGGGCCTGGAACAGTGGATCATAGAGTCGCTGCTGTGATTCTACTTGTTAGAAGCAAAATCAAAACATCTGGAGGAATTCTAAAAGTAACGGATGATTCTCGGTGATGTCATCAGGGTCTCAACCTGAGAGCGGAGAGATTTTCTGCTTGTGTCACCTGCTCATCGGAGTTCACGTGAAGAAACACAGAGAGAACTAGAGATAATCTATCTGTACAGAGTAAATCACTGAGGTAAATAAAATAAAAAACAAACTGAAGAAATTAGAAAACACAAAGGGCTCATAAATATTTAGAGGAATCTGTCATAAATGCAAAATCAGATTAAAATCACTTTGGGTTTTATTTTTCACATGTTTATTTTATCTTCATTCTGACAGCGTTAGTCCTCCATATTTAAAACCAACACATTTAAACCTCTGTAGAAACCCATGAATATGAGTTTAGCTGATTATCTATTATATTATTAATATTAATACATTATTAACACCGTGATTATTGATCATCTGAGGATTATTCTAAATATCACATCTCTTCATCTTTCTTCTCTGAACGGTGGAAATCTTCCACCTGTGACTTCGGACCCGTGAACACACACGTTATGTTTCAGTGTGATGAAGATGATGAAGATGATGATGTGTGTGTTCTATATCTTTGTTAGAAGAATAGAAATATGAAGTCTTGGTTCTCATCATGATCACATGTTCTGTGTGTCCCGGTGGGTCCGCAGCATCTTCAGGTATGAACCGGGCCCCTGCTCCTCTGGTGAACGGTAGTCGTTGTCCTGAGTCTCAGGTTTCAGATGAGGGGCCTCCTGACGGGGCCCGGTGACGTGGAGGAGGAGGAGGAGGAGGAGGAGGAGGAGGAGGAGGAGGAGGAGGAGGAGGAAGAGGAGCAGCGGCTCTGCTGGTGCCTCTCAGTCGTCTTCAGTCGTCTCTCTCCTGCGGGACGCATGGGGTCAGTGCGGGGCTGTGCGGGTTCACTGTGACGGATGAGCGACGAGGACGCGGATGCACGCACACCCCGAGGAGAGCGCGCGCTCTAATTAAGAAAACCTGGTCGAGCAATTAAGCGAGAGGAGGAGACGGCGACGCACGAGCTGCACGGAAGGTGCGTGTGTGTGTTTGTGTGTGTGTGTGTGCGGCGCGAGGAAAGTTTCCAAAGTTTCTGTGAAAACTTCCAACTCGTTGTCGAAGTTTATTCCAAGCTCGTTCCAGTCAGCGCCGCTCAGAGACGCGAGTGTTACGCGCAGAGGTTGGTTTTTCTCCGCGGGACGAGGCTGGAGCAGCGCGCACAACCGTGAGTCCTGTTTGCGTCACTTCTTCACGCACTTTTCAAGCCGTTGCGTGATGAAAAGTGCGTGTTCGTGCGGGAGAAAGTTGTTTTTACAGTCACGTGGTTCGATAAAACATCTGAAACACGTGTTTTTAAAACCGCAGGAGGTGAAATGTCTGAATGTTGCAGTGATTTTCCTTTGTTTGTTTAATGACTAACTGCTGCTAATGGAGTGTGTCTGTGTGTGTGTCAGTGTGTGTCAGTGTGTGTCTGTGTGTGTCTGAACTGATGGGCTGATGTGTAGCTCTGGATTCTTGAGGCCTGGCACTGGTTTGTTTTCCTGCAGAAAAATGCCACATTTCCAGAACAGCCCGTCTGACTCAGCAGAAGGAGGAAATGCGTCCCGTGGACTGAAATCAGAAAAGACAGCTGAGGAGAGGTGTCCATGTGCAGATGCTGCTCAGGCTGCAGGGCCACATTTTCATTTGCCCTCTGTCTGCTCCCTGAACCCTCAGAATCCAGCTCTCTGCTTCTGGTTAGGGCAGGAATGTTAACTCGCCTTCGCTTTGTCCAGATCCTCGGCCCAAAAAAAAAAACCCCGCCGGCCCCTCCATGTCCTCCCGGAGCCGTTAAACCAGCGGAGCCGCCTCTGAGCAAATAGGCTACTGTGTACAGGCGGCCTGAGCTCAGCTGTCTGGAGGTGACACTGCAGAAAACAGCCAGAGAAGCAGTTTGTCCGAGTCAAACACAAGTCTGGGGGATGGAACGTCTCCTTTGTCTGCAGCAGGACGCAGCGAGGGTGCTTCAACAGTTTCATTGAGCCCCTGCACCTCTGGGAGCTTCTCACAGGAGCTGCAACACCTGCTGGACACACTCCAGTCAGAGAGGACAGGGACGTGTTTCCACCGGGACGTGGGTCAGGTCTCCAGAGAGACGTCCACCACCTCGTCTCTCAGAGAAACAAACACTCCTGTCCTTTTAATGTTGGAGGCGCGACAGCAGGAACACGCTGTTCCAGCTCTTTAACAATCCTTCATTCAAATATCCAAACACAACTGGAGCTCAAACTTCACGTGACATTAACTAACATCACAACAATGTTCGAAACCCAAACTCTCATTCAGGGAACAGGACGTTTCGTGATGCGTCACATCAAGTTAACTTCTGGGAGAAACGGCGACAAAGGAAAAACACAGTCAGCTGTTTCTGGTTGGAGCTCTGCTGGCTGACATTCTAGGCAAATTATGTTTTTCCTCAATTTATTGTTTTGTCTGTAGAATGTCAGGAAAGAGGAAAATATTCCGTTTATTCTCATAAAAGGTCAACGAGACGTATCAGAGGCTGAAAACCGAACTTAAGTTTTTGAGTTTCGCAACGATCGAGTTGTGATTTGACTTCAAGAAACAATGAACAAAAATCCCTCAAGTTCTTTTGTTGTTGATTTTTGTTCTCACGTCATCCAAAATGTTTCCGACCATGTTCAAACTCAAACTCTAATTTTGTGGCCTTTAACTCCCATGATGCCACGCTGCTTCACGGCGTCATCAAACTAGGTTTCGTATTTAAAGAAGAAGATAAAAGTGTTGTGACGGTGAGGATTCATCTCAACACGAACCAATCGGTGTTCAAATGAACACAAACCAGTAAATCTACATTCTCCTGCTCGCTCACGTGACCACGCTGGAAGAAAGTGGCACCCAGATGTTGAACCGCTCGGAGGTCAGATTTAAATATCTGGTTCCTGGTGCTGGCAGCCGCTGTCGTCTCTGATTATCCCGATATTATTAGACCATTAGTGGTTAGACTGGATTCATGCTCATGGTCAGTGTTTTGCACGACGCTGGAGAGAAGCTGAGCATCAATCAAAATAGTTTCTGAGGAAGAAAAACCAGAGCCCGGAGCTGAGGATGTTTTAAAGGGACAATCCGCCTCTGCTGGTTCAAGAGCTTTATAACTCCGCTGGAACGACCTGTGGCGTTTAAAGGTGGCGTCTGTAACGGCGTGTTCGGGGTAAACCAGATGTCACCGTGCAGCTGCACTCCAGGGTCGATGAGTTGTCCGGTTTCTCCAACGCTGGAGACGTTCCCATGAGTGAAAGTCCACATTTAGCCGACCCGGGGGTGTTTTAATTGAGATGCTGCCGTCGTAGACGCTTTGAAAGTTCGATTTATTCCAAGTTTAGCGGCTGAAACGTGACGTACTTTGGGTCTGAGCGTTTTCAAGCTCCATAATTGTGAGTGTCTGGGTCTGACCGAGGCCTCTGGTGCGGCTGACGAGGCCCTGAACCCTCCACATTAACGCCTGTGTTCTTTGGCCAAGCGTCACATCTCTGGTCAGGCCCGGGCAAGTCGTGCTCTCCGTGTCTCAGGAAGGATTTAGCAAAGGAATTGATGAGTAACGTGGGGAGTGACGACCTGAGCTTCATTCAGACGTGTCGACAGACACTCTCCCTGTTGGGTTTAGTCATGAAGTCCTGGTTCTATCTGGTTTCTGGGGGTTGACATGTGGAGGAGGAGACTCAGACACCAGTTAAAAGCTCTTCAGTTTCAGAGCTAGTTAAAGTTTTAAAGTTCCACACACAGTCTGGCTCTGTCCGACTTCCCTTTTCTGATACGTCTCCGCTCTGAACTGTGAGTTGGCACTTTCTAAAGAACGAGGGGGATCATTCCTCCTCCGTGTGTTCGTCTCGCTGGTCTCCTCCGACACTTTGATGTTTGATTAAGCGGCTCAGGCTCGGCCGTGACGGCGAGCGGTAAGAATGTGGATTTACCAAAGTGCTACCAGGATTAGTGCACGCTGCCTCGCGGTGCTGCGGATCCATGGATACCTGCATGTCTGAGAGATCTGCGTCTGATTAAATCCAAGCATGTGGCCGTGTTTATTGCTCAGCCCTGCGGTTGAGGTTTACCCAGAATTCCTTTGTGCAGCATCAACACTTGCATTAATCATTTTGTGAAAGTGTAAACCTGGGGGTTTGACCAGCGGACGTCTCGGTGATGACTCCACTCCTCAGTGACTAACATGGATGTTTTATGGTTTCACCAGCGCCTGTCCTTCGTTTGTCAGCAGGATTACACAAAAACAACTTACCAGATTTCCACTCAACTTAACGGCTCAGTGAATCACGGGCCAAGAAAGAACTCATTAAATTGTGGGAGAACATTTATTGTTCACTCATTTCTCAGAGAATAATTCTGAGCCAGACATATTTCTACGACCGGGAGACTCAGAGTTTTGGAGTTTAAGCGACTGTTGGGCCTCGGTGCAGGTTTGAGCTCAGTGAAGTGAAGTTCTCGTTACATTAGATGTTCATGTTTTTCCTTCATTTATTATTTGGTCCATGTTTGATTTGCGTTGAATTGAAAGTTTCTGCTGTGATGAATTTCATTCCTCGTGTGTGTTCTCTTCTCCAGAGCTGACGTACCCCCCCCCATCACCTCGACACCATGAGTTGGAGCTTCCTCACTCGTCTGCTGGACGAGATCTCCAACCACTCCACCTTCGTGGGGAAGATCTGGCTGACGGTGCTCATCATCTTCCGTATCGTGCTGACGGCGGTCGGCGGCGAAACCATCTACTACGATGAGCAGAGTAAATTCGTCTGCAACACGCAGCAGCCCGGATGTGAGAACGTGTGCTACGATGCGTTCGCGCCGCTCTCACATGTTCGATTCTGGATCTTTCAAGTGAGCTTCAAACTTTCTCTCGAGTGTCGAACACGAAAACACTTGAACCCGTAAATCTGAGCCGCGTGTGTTTTTCCAGGTTATCTTGATCACCACCCCGACCATCATGTACCTGGGATTTGCCATGCACAAGATCGCCCGCATGGAAGACAGCGAGTACCGACCCAGCTGCCCCCAGAAGAAGAGGAGGATGCCCATCATCAACAGAGGAGCTGCCCGTGACTACGAGGAGGTGGAGGACAACGGCGAGGAAGACCCCATGATCTCCGAGGAGATCGAACCAGACAAACCCGACAAAGCAGAAAAAAGTCAGTCACCAAACATTCACGTTCTTTATCATCTGAGCTGAATCCGATCTTAACCCGGTGCGATCTGTTTTTAAGGTGCAGAGAAGAAGCACGACGGTCGGCGGAGGATCATGCGCGACGGCCTGATGAAAGTCTACATCTGCCAGCTGCTGTGGCGCTCTGCCTTCGAGGTGTCCTTCCTCTTTGGCCAGTATATCCTCTACGGCTTCGAGGTGATCCCCTCCTACGTCTGCACTCGCTCACCGTGCCCGCACACGGTGGACTGCTTTGTGTCGCGCCCCACAGAGAAGACCATCTTCCTGCTGGTGATGTACGTGGTGTCCTTCCTCTGCCTGCTCCTGACCCTCCTGGAAATCCTCCATCTGGGGATTGGAGGGATCCGCGACACCTTCCGCAAGCGGGCTGACCTCAACCCTCAGACCTCGCTGCCCGCCTCCTCGCGAGCCATGCCGACGGCACCGCCAGGATACCACGCCACCATGAAGAAGGAGAAACTAAAAAAGGAGTTAAGGCATTCGCCCTTGGCCGACTCCGGGATGGAGAGTTTTGGGGACGTGGCGCCGTCGTCCAAAGAGCTGGACCGGCTGAGGAGGCACCTGAAGCTGGCGCACCAGCACCTGGACCTGGCCTACCAGGGGGACGAGAGGAGCCCGTCACGAAGCAGCAGCCCGGAGGTTAACACGGGCGCACAGACCGCCGCCGAGCAGAACCGCCTCAACTTCGCCCAGGAGAAACAGGGAGAGGCCAGCGAGGAAGGTAACGCAGACAGAGTTTAAAACTGGTTGGAGATGAAAGTTGATGCATGTAAACAGATTTATTCAGATAAATTCTCGACCTTCTATGTTTGGAGACACTCAAACAAATGAAATCTCTCTGGTGGCCGAGCTACAGAACATTAATCACCGTCTTTGAATCGTTCAGAAACCAAACTTTCCACAAAGCTAGTTTAAAAACAAACTAAACTTTTGCTGGCAAAGTTTGTGGAAGAAAAATGTCCCAAACTTAAATAAAATACTTTTGCTTTGAGTCATTTTGTGGACGAGGGCTGAGACTTTGTGTCCTGCACAGTTTCAAAGCTCACAAACTTGAAATGAAATAATCTGTGTTATCGTGGACAGAATTTTAGAAAATCCAGTTGTAGTGAATGCATCATGCTGAACAGTCCTGTATTGTCTCTCTCTCTCTCTCTCTCTCT